ACAGCTGGTGGGTGTCTCATACGTCCCACCCAGCTCATTTCGGACCAGCCTCGTGGCACGGGCTCAGGGCCACGGTAGTGACTGCAGTTCTGGACCAGGCACGTGGGAAGCATTCCAAGAGCACTTCCTCCCGTACCCAGTTAATACCAAACAGCCGTGCCCACTGATGGTGGTGACTTCTCGAGCTGGATGGCCCGTCAGCATCCAGCATGTGACACTTTCAATCCTTCTGTCCTCAAGTGTCTGTAGAGGATCACCTGGGGCCAGGCAGGTGGCAACAAGGGCCACCATCCACTTCCCACCAAGAGAAAGTGTTGGCTACATGCCAGCACACATTGGCCCCAGCCCAGCAGTCCTGGGAGCTCCTGGGATGCGGCAGGTTACGAGGTGAACCCACTCAAGGTGGCTCAGCATGGTGATAGCCCCTGACTCAGACCCTGGATCCTCCCCCACTGCAGCTGGAAGCCCAGGCTGCCGTGTCCTCCATGCAGACACCAGCCACACTAAGGACTTCTCAGTGCCAGCTGCTGCCAGGGAACCACAGACCAAGCCGCGTCCTAACTGGTGGGAGCTGTTGGCTTGGCCATCATTGCTGACGGTCCCTTTGTGAAGCCTGGTTCCCGGGGGCCTGGGCAGACTGCTCTGAGCCCACTTGCTTTTGGAAGCCCCTTATTTGGGGTCCTTGGCCTTCATTTGCCAGCCTGCAGTATCCACTCTCTCGGGGTACCTTCAGCCTGGTTGCAATCCTGCCAGGCCAGCCAGGCCCTGCTTTCAAGGAGGCAGAGGGCTGCTCAGGCCACAGGGGACCGGCACATTCTCCCTTCCGTCCTGTTTTCAAACAGCCAGGAGGCAGGCACGGGTCTCCAGGGCCTCAGAGTGCTGGAACGTGCCCCGGGGCTTCTGCCGGCCAAACCAGCTCGGCCCCTCAGCTGTTGTTGGCCTGTTGGGACCACGCCATCTGAGGAAGACTTTTCCAAGCTGTGGTGGTCATTGTCATCTGGGCTCTTTCAGTGGCGATAGCACCCAAGACACTTAGTTGCCCGAGATCTTCTCCCCACATTAAGACATTCACTCCCCACCTCAAGCAGCATCCTGGTTTCTGGTAAAGAGGACAGGCATTGCACCTGATGGCAGAGCACCCCCAGGGAGCCTGGGACCTTTCACCTGAGCCAGTACCCAGCCCTTACGTGTGCACCAACAGGCCTGATGCACCAGGCACGCTGGCTTCCTGCTGTCTCATTTTGCTTTGAACTTCATCCCAAAGATGCCTTTCCTTTCCCGTGTGTAGACGAGACAAGATTCACCAGGGGGCTTTGCTTCTGTGCCGATCACACCAGAGCACCCAGCCAGTGCCCGTTGTGCCAATGTGCACGCTGCTTCCCTCGTGGGTGACAGCAGGGACAGACACAGCACCGCTGCGTCGAGGACGAACTTCAGCTCCTCAGAGGAGGGGGCTGTGTCCCCATCACCATTCTGACTAGAGAAGCAGGCCTTGCCTCTGCCACAGCCGTTGAGAGGGTTCTGCCGGGAACCCCGCGCAAGGGCTGCTAAGCCCCAGTTAATCCTTCAGAGTGATTACAGCAATTTCAGAAAGTGAATTTGCTTGGGATGCGTTTGCAGTCTGTAATCGCTTCGGCATCCCATTGGAGGGATGGGGGCAGAGGGATCTGCGGGCTATTAAGTCATTTCTGCAACAATTATGCCTCTGGGCCCGCGA